ATGCTACCGGAAACGCGGATAACCCAGGGCGAAAGGGGAGATACCATATTTGTTTAGCATACGCTTGGTCGAAGGATTGACTTCCTTGTCTTTTTGACGAGTAGCTGTGTGGTGCTTAGGATGGCGATACTCACTGACGATGCCGACTACGATGTTAACGAAACGTTTGGGAATGTTCCACGTCCACGGTTCAACTTTGGTAATGATCATGCAGACAATGGATTCCGAACTAGGTGCGTTCCAATTAGTCTTCCTACCAATATGACCCTGTTGCGAAAACAAGGTCAAACAACCTCTATAAAAAACCATCTGTTTAAACAGCCTTCAGTTAAATACTTCGAATGGTTATCAGTGAGATTTACTACTTCTCAACCAGATCTTCTCTAAGCATATTTCAGGATTATCCAGGCTTATTCTGGTAGGTAAAAATATAAAGATGCGTCTTTGGCTGTAAGAATACTTTGTCTTTTTTCGATGCTTTTAAGTATTCCAGGGGAATTGCAATGTCCTTGTGGATGGCATAGATGCTGCTGGGTCTTGACGTCATGGGAGTAGAGCAAAGGAGCCAGGACGGTGTTCTCGTAGGGAACGAGGCGCAAACAGCAACTGAAATTGTCTTTGTATGTCCCACCGCCGAATGCTGGACCGAACTGCAAGTCGATGTCGCGATACTTCCCCAATAGTTCTTGCTCAACTCTGAGTATATATGAAAATTAAGATATAGCCGGATAGTCTAATTGATGTAGTGTTAATGTGAGACCTTTATGCGAGTGAATTCCAGCTCTGAGGATGTCCATCATATGATATTTTTGTATGTAGGTAAAATTTCCAGACTACCAGTAAATCAGTAATATGAGATGTATTCACTCTATTACGTTTAAGCTGATGAAGGATTGGTAGTAGAATTTTTCCACAATGATATGAGTAGAGTTGACCTTTTCATTAAATTTCAAATAGCATTGCTTTCCCAAAAGTTGTTCTCATCCAGGGTGGACTGCAGTTTCGACGTCTCATAGGTCTTATCAACACCCTCAGCAGGAATTAAACCGTGACAGTTCCGCATTTGAGCTTGAAAAGTTAACCACACATTGCTACGATTGTCCTTGAGTCACAGGGCAGATACCAATTTCAAGGAAGGCCAGGCCTTTTCCCATATCACATTCCTTGGTGAGATTGTCGATGAAGCAAACGTATTATTGCTATAGCAATCGACTACGTTAATTATTTTTTTCTATGTAAATAGGGTTTCGAGGCTTCCAGTAAATCAGTAATATGAGATTGTGGGAAAATTCTACTACCAGTCCTTCATCATCTTAAACGAAATGGGAGAAATACATACACATCATATGATAGAGGTAAGCTTAGCCCGTATTCGCTCAAAACAAGGGAGGATGCCTCGTGGGCTGCATCAACCTGAGCATCGAATTAAAGCCAAACGGCTGCAGTACAACGTGAATTAGCCGTCGTCTCTC